TTTTTCTTTTTTTGTCGCGTGGTTTGATGCTCAAAGCCAAGGTTTTGGAGCCACATTTTTAATATCGGTAGACCGCTATTGTTTCGACATTTCAATGGGATAATGGGGCATTATTCACGCCTAAAAGCAATCTTCAGTCCGTAGTTATCTCTTTTTCATGAAGAAACGAAGAAATCAGTGATACCTTAGCCATCTCACGCTCTGTCGTTCTGTCGCTCTCTCTCTTTCTCCCTCTCTCTCTCTCGCTCTCTCGCTCGCTATTCTATATATGGCAAACATTATTTTTCGAATTTTCCCATGCGACGCGGAACCCGAAGATCCCTAAAAAAATAAGCATGATCCCGACCGCAACACATGCGTTTGGTCTCTGAAAATCGCTCATGCTCACTGAATAAATTAGAAGCTCCGCAGAAAAAGAGGTATGCCCAACTTACCCCATCCATCATCAACGATTCGCCGCCCTGAGGCCCATTTCCCCCCTTTGAAAAGTATCCACGCAATAGCCCGGCGTTGGCTTGCTCTTTAAAAGGCGCACTATTTACATGGACTCTACAGTAGTTCCGGGTACGCAAAGGCGCTAGAAACGGAATTCCGTCATTTACGCGTTGCTGGCTGCCCTTTGGCGCCCGAAAATAGAAAACTTGATTTTTTTCGATGAGATCCATATTTTTGGGCGTCTTTTTCCTGCGATTCCCTTGCGATTACTGTGTTTTTCGTTTTCGCACATTTTGATAATTGCTAATACTATCAAAATTAGTTTTGGGCAAAATTTTAGTCAACGTTTGCCTATCAACATGTGCGAAACCTAATTTTGGGTGTACTGTAGCTGCAGAATTTTAAATGGGTGTCTTCCGGAAAATCTTGGTTTTTTCCCGTTGTTTTTTTGTAGCGTCTGTGCCCAGTTCCCTGGGGAATGCCGTACTTATTGTCTCCGTGCATGTTAATAAAGAATTCTAGAATTTGTCTAGAGCCTCCCTGGGGTACAAATTCTATAAAAGTTTTTTTACTGAATCTTCTGTATTTGGGTCTTGTAGTGGTAGTGGTGTGAATCTAAATCAGGATTTTTTGCTTCTTAGATATTTTATAGTTAGAACTCCGTTACGGAACCTGAAAATGTTTGAGTCATTTATTCTTCTCTTTATTGTTTTGGCATCCACGTAATATCATCCAGACGCACGCCCTCTCTGACCTATTTTTCTAGACTATGCTTACTCACTTCCGGTCACTTAATCCTCCCATCTTGCCAAAAAATTGGTAATCCTTTTACCCTTGATTTCCATTCGGTATTCAGTTTACCATAATGCGAGGAACTCCTCGAAAAAACGACACTCTCTCTCTCTGTCTCTCTCTTTCTCTCTCTCGCTCTCTCTCATCTCTCTCTCTCTCGCACCTTTCCTGGCGTCTCGTGTCTTAGTTTTGCAAACGTACCACCTCCTCTCCCCCACAACACAACTTTTCTATTTCCGGCCTGTTTTTGAATGGCCAAAATGTTCGAGAACTCGACCCCCACCCGACCCAGGGGGGACAAATTGAATTAGATGGGCCCCATCTTAGGCCCCTTCTAGGGGCCCTAACCCTTCGGGCAACCCCCGAAAGGGGCGAACAAGGAATTTTTGGTCTTTTCCTACTGGGGGCCACACCCTAGCATTCCGCCCATTTCCCCTAGCCACTTCCAGGTGTTCTCTGGAATACTACTAGGCGGAGGTAAAAGCTCTTTAAAGGTACACTAAAATCTCGTTCAAAAATTTTCGCAGGGGCCGGGAATTTGGGTTCTCTGCCGCCGCTCGCCCCAACCCTTCATAGCCTCTCTCCCCTGTCCCCTCTCCCGTCTGTCCCATGGCCTAGTGGTCCAAAGCGCTTGCCCCAGGCGAGTGGCGCGGGTTCGGTTTTGCTCCGCGGCGAGCGCCTACCGTAACCCTGTTTGCTATCCTGCGGACGGTTACCGGCCGGTAACCAAACCAACGAGACTTTAGTGTACCTTTAAAGATCCCTTTCAGTAGGGAAAAACCACTTCCGGGCCGGGGAGGGGTTTCGGAACGTCTTTTTTGTAAACTACTTGTAACGTTCGGGCGTAGGCTAGCAGAGACCATTTGCCGAACTAAGAGAAGACAGGTTGGCTAGCATAGATAATTAGGGAGAACCTAGCATCGTTTTTGCGACGAGGCAGGCTACTTTTTGAGACGAGATCCTTGAGGAAAGCAGTCTAGAAGTCCTTTCGAGGCTTGATAGAAATGCTTTAAGGAAGTGAGCTGGCAGAGTTTTTTGTGGAGGCAGGCACGCAGGTATTTTTGAGGAAAGCAAGCTAGCAGGGATTCTCAAGAGGAAAACTATTTGTCTGGAAGGGGGTTGAGACTGGGATTCTTGAGGATGGCAAGTTAGCAGGATTCTTCAGCAGGGATCCTTCAGGAAGCCAGCTAGCAGAAATTCTTGAGGACGGCAGCTTCACATTCTAGGCTGTGCGCAAATCCATAGAGCTTTTCAAGATGACATCACCAAACCATCTTTTATTTATGTGATGTGGTACCCTTATACTCTGAAGTCAGCCTAACCTGTCCTTTTTTAAAAAGAAGATCTATCGTCCTTTTTCCCTTTTTTTAATTACTCTTTTCTGTACTTCGTTTTTTCACCCACTTCTGGTTCTGAAGCCCACCCAGTAATTCTGGGAAATAAAGGCCCATCTTGTTAGTCCAGGCCCGCTTATTTACGGCCCCGGGTATTCGGGTGAAAATTTCGGGTGGTCAGATAATTAGGTCCCTTGTTGTTTAGATTAAGTTATTTTCGATCCTTCGCGACGGAAAAAGGGCCGATTTTGTCTAGCATTTTAAGCTTCTGCGGTACTCGACGCTACTTTGTTTAAAGTTGTATTTTGATGGCCTGTTCGTAACTATTTCAGTAAGAAAACACGTTTCGATCTCTCTCTCTCTCTCTCTCTCTCTCTCTCTCTCTCTCTCTCTCTCTCTCTCTCTCTCTCTCTCTCTCTCTCTCTCTCTCTCTCTCTCTCTCTCTCTCGCTCGCTCTCTCTCTTTCCGTGCTCTGTGTGTAACTCAGCAGTTCGAAACCCGTCCCTGGTCTTCCTTGTTGCTATTTTTCTAGTGTGACGCCCACCGTAGCGCAGATGAATTTGCAAGCACCTGACAATCGGGCGCTTAAAAATACCGTTATTTTATTTGCACCTGCTGGTCGTGTTTTGCCCGTCGGCACTGTTTCGGCTATTGAAACTCGAACTATTTTTGTTTGTCTGGGGCTTACTGTTTAGCAAAGAGCACTATGGTTATTTTACCAGAATATACCCATAGTGTTGATCGAATGTCGCTTGTCGCGTGCCTCCAGGGACGTAGCGTAATACCGGCTCCGGGGGCCCGGGCCCCCCCCCCCCCGAAATCGGCCGGGGCCCGAAAATTTCATAAGGGGGGACCCTTATGATTTTTATTTTCTCAAAAATTTTGCTGCCTGCGGCGCTATTTTTTCACGTTTTTACTGTTATTTGTCGAGCTATGTAGCCTTTTTTCCAAATTTTTTTGCCTGCGGCGCTGTTTTCTCGTTAAATTTTCGAGTTTTTCGTAAAAAATTTTTCCGGCCCCCCCCCCGAAATTTTTTTCTCGCTACGCCCCTGCGTGCCTCTATTCTCTCTAGTACTTACTAGCAATACGCAACGCTCCAATCCATGTTCAGCAAGTAATATTTACCTATGCTAATATCTAATTTTTCCTAAGCCGCGCGACGCATGATAAGACCAAAAAAAATGCGAAAAACTCGCGGCCCGGAAATCCGGAACGCGCCAAGCCGCCCGTATTTCGGAAGCTATTTCATATCGTAATCGGTCTTCAGACTCAATTCTTTTCATAATCTTTTTAAGGCAGAAAGCCCGGAACGGTCTTTGCGGCGCAACCTATGGTGTCACGATTCTCGCAAATCCAATGACTTTCTTTTCCATCTTTTTGCTTTTTTCTCTCCACCACCTCATTCTAATTCCAGACGCCCGTTCGTCTTATCGCTAATCTTATCCATTCTCGTTTTTTTCCGCAACCCAGACATCACTCAAAAATCCGCCCAAAACCCGCAAAAATTCACGGCGACCCGGTGGAGCGGAAATTAGGGTTGAACCGGGTGCGTGTTAGCGGGCGTGACCTTTGAATTTGGACCACCCTCATGTAAGGCCAAATGCGTGCCGGCCCGCAATTTGTGATCTTTGCCCGGCGTTTTCTTTCTTTCTTTCGTTTTGCTTCCCTGCTGGACCCGGCTGAAAAGTTTTCGTTTCCGATTTTTTCAGATCACATGGGTTTTGGTCGGGGCCCATTTTGGAAGCTAGGACCTTTCTTGTTTTAAAAATGACTTTTCGATTTGATGCCGTAATCCATAATTATTGTATTTAAAGCAATAAATATCGGGAGGTCGTCATTAATTTTCGCCTTTTTAAAGGGAATTAGCTAGCATAATGTCGAAATCCATATTGTAGAAATCCATAATGAAAGAAAATCCATAATTCATCCTAAGCATAATTCATAATGCCAAAATTTTATAATAGCTAAATTTTTCGCATAGAATTTGGCGTTTCTATGGAAAGAGTTGCTGATGTAAATTGTGACATTATGATTTTCGAAACTTCGAAATTAATACTTTAATCCAATAAAGGCCCTTTTGATAAGTTTTTTATAGTAATTCATTAATTTAAATATACAATTACGCGACAAAATCCAAATCTCTCTCGATTTGTGATGTCGTAATTTATTTTCAAGTAAATAATTTACCGTTTTTGACCAAATTTGGGTTCAAATTCAACGTCCAAAAAATTTTATTCGGTTTGGTGCTTGAAATTTAGCGAATCCTGTATATTGATGCCAGGTGCCAGGCAAAACTTTATTCTGGCGCTTTCTCGTACCTTTAAATTCGTAGATTTATACTTCCAATCCTTCCGCCTTTCCTTCCTTTCTGTATGCTTTCACAAAAATGGATTTCATGCGTTTTAATTGATTAATTAGTTTAATTTTGCTTTCTTTCAGATGGACGAATGGAAGCGGACATTAATTCTGACAAACGCCGTGCTCTCCTTCTTCACCAACCTAATCTTACTGTATTTTATCGCACGCCACTCACGACGGCACATTAGTGGATACAAGTTTCTACTCGCAATTTTTGCTCTATTCAATATTTGTTTTGCTGTGACGCAGGCTACAGTACTGCCTGTAAGTTGTTGTTGATTGCAATTTTATGTCTTAGTGAATTGTAATAGTCAGAAAGATAATTTTTATAGGCTTTCCACGTGTATCGCTACGGGTGGATACTATTTCCGACGGGTAAATTATTCGCAGGGAGCCCGGAATGGGGATTTTGGTCATGTGCGGCGTATTGTATGGTGAGAATTTGACTTTTTGAAGAGGGGAGAGAGAGACAGAGAGGGAGAGATAGCGAGCGAGATTGAGAGAGTGAGTAAGAGAGAGAGAGAGGGAGAAAGAGAGGGAGAGATACAGAGATAGAGCGAGAGGGAGGAGATAAAGAGAGAAAGAGAGAGAGAGAGAGAGAGAGAGAGAGAGAGATACCGCTAAACTTTTTTTCAGATGTACAACCTCTGCCTCGTGCTCCTTACATATCACTTTGTTTATCGTTTTGTGCTGATTTGCCGGTAATTATTAATTTTTTATTTGGCTTTATTAATATTTTTTAGTGAAGAATCTCACCACCACCTACGAAGCCGCCCAATTTGCATATTACTTTTTATTGGCTGGCTTTTGAACGGGGTTCTTTGGGGCGTCGTCTGTCGGGTGACGATGTACCAGTTAAAGGAAACTCGGGTAATTTGAATACTAGTTTTTTTATATAGGGTTATTGCTTATTTTTTCGCTAATGTTCTTCATTTTCGAGTGCAGTTTGAGCCTGAAAATTCTAGGAAATTCGTGGAAACTAGAGATTTTGCCTCGCCTAGCAGTGATTTTGGCGGTATCTTTTATAACTCTTTTTTCAGGACTACATGCAATTTTCCATGCTCAACGAATACGGGTTAGATTCTGAAACGACACCAATGTTGGGACCGATATACTTTGTAAGTTTTCATCGGTTTTTTTTGCATTGTTATGCAAATTTCAGTTCGACAATCCGGACGGAACCCGACGCACGAATTGGCTGTCCTGTCTGGGCTCTTTTTATTGTATTTCGCTACGGCTTGTTTCTCGTAAGTGGAGCTTTTTAATGGAAATTTGTCGTAGCCCAGGTGCACAAACGTGCAAACCTTAACTTTTGGCAGTGATTTACTTCTAGTCAAAGTTGGGCAAAGAAACGCTGCGAGCTTGCCGAGAATTCTTCAGCTACCGCTCTGCGTTTTATGAGAACAGAAGTTTCTTAAACTGTGTTGTGCACATCTTATAAATTTCCTTATTTTTAGGACAATCCTCTACTGTTCCCGAAAAATCGACGCTGTCCTGTCGAAAAGTCGGATGAGTGAGAGGGCCCGGCGACTTCAGAAGGATCTTTTTAAAGCGCTGTTAATACAGGTAAAAATAACCAACATTTATTGATTAACTAATAGATTTAGCTCATCGTTCCTGGAATCTCTAAATTCTTGCCCGGGACTTGTATGTTCACGTTTCCGCTTTTTGGTGAGTTTTGAAATCGGTTTTTAAGAAATTGCAACATCTGCCAATTTTCTAATTTTTACCAAAAATTAGCATTTTTGACCTACTTTTTTAAGTTAGTACGTTAATCAGGCCTTGCGTTTTAAAGGGGAATTCACAGAAAACTAGAGATGTTACGCATACGAATACGATGTGCTACTTCCGGCAAATTAGCCCGATATGCATATCTGATTTGAGAAAGAGTATCGAGAATTCGAATACGACGATCGTATTCGAACAAGCCTCGGTTAATTCCGACGTGGTGATCTGGCAAGTCGGCTTCACGTCGGGATAAAAAGTTAATTAAAAATTCAAGACGAAATGCTATGTAAGTATCAAAATATTGGCACATCCACCGGAAATTACCGGGAAATCGGCTCCAAAATCTATTCAAATCATGCATATTCTGACTACTTGTTTCCATTTTCCGATCGTTTTCTTCGTAATATCGCTTTGCATCCAAATTAGCTTATTATCCCGATGTGGACCGGTTTAAACGAATACGATCGTCGCATTTGCCTGGTTCCGACGCTAATTCGAATACGACGATCGGGTCGGAATTAGGAAATTTTTGATTCCGACGGCTTATTCGAATACGACGCGTAACTCCCATGTCGTATTCGTATGCGTAACATCTCTACAGAAAACTAAGTGGAAATTTTCCGCGTGAAACTTTTTTCGTTAAACAGCTTATTTAAAATGCAAGGCTGGCTAATTAAACATTCTTAACCTTTTCATATGGTCTTCGCACTTTAAATAAGAAAAAGCGTATCGCTGTTTCAGAAAAAAATTTAAAAACCTTGTTTATTTGCCTCATTTCGTCTCAAAGATTGTTTTCCTCATTTCCCGTGATTCCTAGCGATTGTATTTTGTATTGCAAGTTCCGTAAACATACAATTTCATTTTTTATGTTTATTTTTCCATTGAGGCCTAAACACGGGAAAACTGGCCAATTACGCGGCAGTGCTCGCTTCCTTTAATACCGTACTGGAGCCGATATTTTTGCTGTATTTCGTCAAGGACTACCGCTACGCGATATTACGAATGGCTGGGTAGGTATAATAGCCTATTTACTATGAGCTGATAGATTTCAAAATATGCTGTTTTTTGCAGCAAACGCGATAGTAGCGGAACGTACTACATCTCGGAAACTGGGGAAAAAATTGAGCGCAGCTTGACGTATGCCCAGAAACCGATCTCTCCGAGGACGGCGACAATGTTGTGAATTTTCCGATTTTTATTTTTAGTTATGTGTTTATGCTAATTTGAATAATCTGCCCATTTGTGGTCTCAGTCTACTGATTCTTTGCTCATTTTAGGAATTTGTGTCAAAAAATTTCGTTTTATCGAGGCGAAAATAAACATTTTCACCGGACAATGTTTATTTGAAGAAACTAATTAGCATGTTCAGCGTGACCTTTTTAACGTTTAACATGCTGTTTTGACTTAATTTTCATTTAATTTAAATCAAACATCTTGTTAGGCAAGCAAATCCATGAATTTGGGTTCTAAATGTCCAAAAACGATCCACAAAAAAGGAAGGTTTTTCCTAAAACCAAACGTTAAAACGAAGCCAAATTATGCAAATTTGCGTAAACGCTTTCTTTTGCATCCAAGCAGAAAATCTTAATTCGCATACGCAGTGAAAAAAAATGCAGATTTTTTCTTAAAGCCAAGCGGGAAAATGATGCCAAATTATCCTAATTTGCACAAGCGTTCATTTTTCTCACCGCAGAAATACTTAATTTGCATGTTTCACGTAGCTGGCGCATAACATTTTAATTTTGAGAAAAGATGCAAAAAAAATATAGAGAGAATATCCATTATTACACAGCCTCCAAGCTTCCGACGAGCGCAACCAACACCCGCGGATTGGCAGCTTCGTGATGAACAGACCGCCACATGAACGTGATCATCACTGAAATGCAGGATGCTTGGGGGTCAAACTCCAAATCTAAGAATTTTGAAAACGGTTTTTGTTTATACTTTTGAAGTTCCGCTTAGATACTTACATGCGCTGAAAGAAAGAAACAATGTCGCCGTAAACATTCCTTTCTGCTTCTCGAACTAAAAAAAAGGTTGTACAGGGTGTCCAAACAAAAAACACCCCTTCTTTAACTCGACGGAGAAGTATCGCATCGGACTGATAGTTACGACATTCGAAAACCCATGAAACGGCGAGTTTGGCGCAAAACTTCATAACCATCTTTTTATTTAAACCCACAAACGCACGCATTTAAGATCAAAAGCGCATTTAAATAAAAACACGGTTTTGAAGATCATAACTCGCCGTTTCAAGGGCTTTCGAATGGTGTAGCCAGGCCCGTAGCGGAACCGAAATTTCGGGGGGGCCCAAAAATTTTGGCGACCTCCCCCCCCGTCGTCACTTTTAAACCATCCGAAAATCGCGTCAATAATAGCGCCGCAGGCAAAAAAAATTGCAAAACGCATTCGCTACACTCAAATTGGTGTGAAAACAAGGCAGAAAACGCGCCGCAGGCGAAAATTTTTGATGAACAATTGATTGACCAATGAAAACCAGCGCCGCAGGCAAAAAATTAAAAAAAAATAGGCTTCATATAAGTAAAAACTGTTTGAAAAACAGTAATAAACAGCGCCGCAGGCAGAAAAATTTTTGTAACTAAAAATCATACGGGTCCCCCCTTATGAATTTTTCAGACCTCGACCGATTTCGGGGGGGGCCCAGGGCCCCCTGGGCCCCCTCCTACGGGCCTGGGTGTAGCTATCACTCCGATTGGCTCAAGTCTAGGACCCCCCCCCCTCCCCAGCCACAACTTTTCAGCCTTACGTCCTATTAATGCGTCGAGTATCTCAAAATGTTTGCCGTGGTCGAATTACTATAGAAAGGTTGTTTCCATACACCAAAAATTGTTTGGAAAATTTTTATAACAATTATAAGTCTGGGTTTTTCTTTAATTAATTTTTCCTGGTCGAAAGTGGGTTTCGTATCTCGGCTATCTTTTGTCCTACAGAGCTGTCAATGGTATCAAAATGTAGCTCTTGCTTTTTAGAATAAGGCTACAGTACATTTGAGTCGAAAAAATAGCGAAAGCAGAAAATAATTGAGTTTTAAACGCTTAGTACATTGAAGCATGGCGACTTAATATTTTCACACTTCAAAATCTTTTAAAAAATTTTCTAACAATTTTTGATGTATGTAAACGACCTTTCTATAGTAATTCGCCCACGGCGAACATTTTGAGATATTCCACGCATTAATCGGACGCCTGACTGAAAAGTTACGGCTGGGGGGGTTCCTAGACTCTTACCCTCCGATCCGATACTTCTGCGTCGAGTTGGAGGGGGTGTTTTTTATTGGGGACACCCTGTATAAAGCGGTGAAAGGTCGTGTTTCCATTGATTTTACATCGAAAAGCGTGAGTATGATGCAAAGTGAAGAATGTCATGAGATCAGACGGCTCGTGGCTTTTTAAGTCCTCACAGATCTGGTCTCAGCGATCGCATGCAAGATGACGAAGCCGCAACAAAACAGGAAAAAACATAGGTAGACTTCCTCGTGTTTCCACGTTGATTTCTGGAACAGGTGAAAAGGGCATTGGAACTGGACACGCTACACGATTTTGAAAGGCAAGCTTGAATTTACGGCCTTCAGGGCAAATTACGCAAAAAAGCCTCGGACTGGATTTTCGAGGTGGTAATCGGACCAAGCTTTGGCGGTAGTGTTCGTTTCAACTTTTCTCTCTTTTCGTCACCAACCTTATCGTTCCATCGCGCCTCCGAGTCCAGTAGTACCTCACCATCCGATGCAAGCGCTGAATTGCCATCTTTCAAAAGTTGAGGCTCCCTCACCCCTGATTTCCGCCCGTTCCTCGCTGCTGAGCGTGTCGTAGGTGACCACGGATTGTCGCGAGGCACGTTGAGTTTCACCTCTGAAATGAAGTATACCAGACCTTGGATGGGTATTTATAAGCCTGGCCACAGCTCATGCGTAGGGATTTCGAAACGGATTACGCGATTTAGAGGTGGTTTTTGTATTTCCACTAATTCCGGAAGTTCGCTTGCATTTTTCCATTACAAGAGAAATAAAATATAGCCAACCTGGAAGCGCGGTACAGTTGGACATAGCGGACGATTCGCTCGGTCATGGCGGAACTAAAAGTATTCTCGGCGCTCGAGCCCAAAAAAAGGATAGTGAGAGAGAGAGAGAGCGAGAGAGCTACAGAGAGAGAGAGAGAGCGAGAGAGCTACAGAGAGAGAGAGAGTTACAGAGAGAGAGAATGAGAGAAAGAGAGAGTGCTATAGCGAGAGAGGCAGCAAGAGAGAGAGACCGAGAGAGACAGACAGGCAGACAGACAGACAGAGAGGGATGAGTGGTAAATTTATGCATGAAATGATGCAGAGCTGTAAATGTCCTGTAAATGACGAATCGATTGGCTTAAGAATAACAAACCTTTGTTTGCATATTTTTGGCATCGTTTTTTACAAAAATCAGGTGCAACAGGCTGCTAGACGTGTTAGTAATGTTGTTAGTTTACAAGAATGTGTTAGTAATGTTTCATAAAGTTGCAATTTTAACCGATTCTAAGGGAGTCGCTGGTTGCAGCCCCGAGGATAGAGCGGCTGGGGTCAGTGGGCCGTAAGTGGGACCCCAGGCAAATAGAATGGCCAGCTGGGGTCACCGGATGCCCCCGGGCGGGATGGCCAACAACGCGACCGCTACGCTCGGCTTCTACCATCTGGACCTTGTGCGGGGGCCCATATAAGTACCGGACACTCTACCACGCGCTACCACCAAATTCGGCGAAATGTCAGGTGCGTTCTACGTTCCCTTTAATAAGCTGTTGTCGAGCTCGCGCTCTCGGACCAAATCTGCTTTCGAGCGGATTGACATTTTTAAGTTTAAACGATTTCTTTCCGTAGGCCAACCACGTCTGGAACGCGATCGCGTTGCCCGCCACATCAAGATGCACGAGAACGCAACGTGGGTGTTTGGCTAATATTTTTTCGGGTGCATATACAGAGTGGCGATTAATTACCTGCGCGAGAGAAAACGCTCGATCTGAATCTTTTGTTAAGGCAATTTCCGTTCTTGCTGCGTTTTATGGTATCACAAGCTATCTAATACCTGATGCGTCGAAGAAATTTGGGTCAGTGGCCCTCAACTTTTTCCCACCTCAAAAAACGTCGTCGAGCAAAAAAACGCGAGCGCCGCAGTTATGATCCGCACCAAAGGTCCGATATTTTTCGGTTTAATGGATAGCGGCCTCAAATTATCGTTATTTAGATGCTTCCAATTGCCCTCCAGATGCTCAAATTCATCAAAAAAAAATTATTGAGCGCTAGGCTTACCAAATAACAAAAATTCTGCGACCAATTTCGGCCTGGAGCCGAATCGGCGATAATTTTAAAATTGATTGAAAGCCTGATTTTTGGGGTAAAAGCGACGCGCAGGTAATTAATCGCCACCCTGTACATAGTGTAACGGGAAGGGGGAATAACGTGAGCACTCATTATTCCTAAGATTTTACTTTTTTTGTGTGATTTCGCGGCTTCCATTATATAGAGTGTCAAAAAATATGCTCAGGTGAATTATATTTTGCCCGAAATAATGTTAAGGAAATTTGATAAATTGGTTTAATACACAAAATTAGATCAAAATCCATGGGCAGCACATAGGATAGTAGCGCTGAAGCCGACTTTTCGAGATGTTCGGAATTTCCTGAATCCCAATCGATGGAAAGTCAAAAATATAAACCCAGAAAATTATTTGGAACACGAAAAAAGTAAATAAATTTTTTAACATAAACACTATGGGCAGCACATAACATCACGGGGCGAACCTATTTACGGCACTTTGAATACTTTACATATTTTGAAAACGCCATCCGGTAGAGGGCCGAAAAATATGCTAGGAAATTTTTCATAGCCCGAAAAACCCATTCAAAAATAGTTTTTGGAAAAAACTTTGAGTGCCAGCTAGTTCCCCCCGTTATCGCATATGAATTGTTGCCCCAACGAGTCATCATTTAGAAGAGACGGCAGTGGAGCGGTGGTGCTCTTCGAGACGCTCACTCATTATGATGATACGGAACTAAAAGGTGAACCCAGGAATTGCCCCTTGGATGTGTTTTCTTTAGCCCTGGAAGCGCAACATCTGACGGTCCGGATGCGACCCGAGCCCGCGCCATATGAACATAAGAACGCGGAGGATTTTTACGTAAGCCACAAGCAATTAGGATTGTTGGTGTTAATTTCATTAAATTAAATTTGTTCTACGTATATTTTTAGGACCCGCCGATCGTAGTAGAGAAATGGAGATGGATTCCCCCTTGCCTGCACGATTCTCTCGATTGTCTGGGCCTGCAAGAGGGCATTGAAGAATGAAGATCCGGTGGGTGCGCATTGCGTCAATAACAGGGTTGCAAACGCGGCTTTTCTTTGACCCATGAAAGCATTAGATTTGAATGCGCCTTCCAAAATTCTAGCCAAAAAAAGCGAAAATCGGTTCATCTGTCCATTTAGGTACAAGGTGTAAAAGCACCCCCCCCCCCTAACTCGACGAAAAATTATCGCATCGGAACGGTAGTTACACCATTAAAACGCCCTTGAAACGGCGAGTTCGCAACAATCTTCAAGACCATGTTTGATTTCAATACCTCCTTTACAAGCCATTTTGTAGAGTTCTACCACTTTTCGGGGCTGCATACGAGCTAATTTGCCTCAATTTCACCATACAAAATGACCGGAAGCAGCCGTTAATTAGATGCAGGAGGCGTCCCTTAATGTTTTTAAATGCGTTGTAAAAGAGCGCATTTAAATAAAAACCTGGATTTGAAGACTGTTGAAAACTTGCCGTTTAAAGGGCTCTCGAATGGTGTAACTTTCATTCCGATCCGATATTTCTGCCTCGAGTTAGAGGCGGTGTTTTTTTATTGGGACGCCCTGTCGCCAGGTCATTCGCTTCCGGCGTATTATAATTGTTTCTTAACAAGGAGGGCGTTCGAGACTTTTACAAACCCATTAATTTAATAATAAAACTTGTATGTTTGTAGGAATCCGATATGTTGGCACGCCTCCCCATTTAATTCGAAACATAATGACGTTTCTTCCGCATCCGAAAAAGGCTTCTCTGGGGCTCTAGGTGGGGGACAACCCCCACTGAGGTTGCATGCAAAACCACACGCAACTAGTTTTTTCATTTAATTTCTAACTAATTTTCCAATTTTTCAGGATAATCGAGGCTTGAATGTCTGGGGAATCGCCTTGCTAGTTATCATGGCCATCAGTGGGTTATTTAAATTTTCCCTTGAAAATCGGAAAATGCACATACTCCCGAAAAAAAGCAGGTTTTCCATAGAAAGACGGGCCATTTTTGTATGGAAATGAAGTTTACGCATGCATCTATTTTGGGGATGGTGTCTTTTCGGGATTGTGTTTTTTTCGAATGGTGCTTTTTCTGGATGGTGTACTTCCGGGATAATGTCCATAAACCGCACTTCCTCGGAAATTTCTTTCCTTCTAGGCCTCATCTTTTGCCTCAACCTGGCCCGAATGCGATATACGCGGGAACGGATTGAAACAAATTGGGTTCATGTGGTATTTATGTAAATAGCGTCGCGCCTTTCAATTATGTATTTTTTTGTTTGTAATTTGCAATTGCTTTGCAATCTCTCTCCCTCTCTCCCCAAACCCCTCTCTCTCTCTCTCTCTCTCTCTCTCTCTTTTCCATTTGCACTTTTTTACTCTACTCATTCTACTCTTTCCACTTTCCATGCTTCTTCGATACTCAGATGCTGACAATATCAATTTATGCATTTTTTATCAATAAACTCGTCGTCATCAAGATTTTCCCTGAGAAAAGGTACATTAAAATACATATTGGGATTTTCGATCATCAAGGCGCTCCCGAGTCACCAACGAGCGCCACCAGCACCCTGGGATGGCGAGCCCTATCACGGATTCTCCAGGCCTCACCACCGATATACACTGAAATAGCGGATTTGCGTTGTCGCAGGCAGTATATATAGCATCAGAATCTCGGAAATCAGAATATTTCTTGATCCCGAATTATCATAATTCAAATCCAAATTAACAGCTCCAGGGATTGGACGCCTACGCCCTCTGCCAAGCCTATGCAAACTTCATGATTCTGAAAATTCGAGATTCTGAAAAGTTGATTCGAAAAATTCGAGATTATCATTTTCAAGGTGCTAATTTTCGAGATTTTGCCGGATTCCCAAGCAAAAACTGTTGACACTCACCAGCCGCGATTAACATCAGGAAGCTCCCAACGATCATGCTCTGCGACTTCGCCACCTGAAAACGGGAGGTCTTCCTCAAAATGCCACGTGCGTCGCTGTTAAAATTGTTGGCAAGCCAAAATTGGAAAAACTTGAAAATTTGAGCTTGTTCCTTGAAGTAACGTTTAACCCTAACCAGAGCTGTAACTTGGAGATATGTGCAAATGTTCGGACGAATAATTCTAGCGAAAACTATTTGAAATGTCACAAATATTGACTGCCTCCCAGCATTATTTTATTTGAGGGCGAGCGCTAGACCTCCCGAAATCCCGTTGCGCGCACGGGCCGGTACCGACCCGTTCGCGCGTTGCCCGCGGTGCGCGCGCAATGACCGCGGTTGCACGGACCCGGACGGGCCGCGCGCGGCGGGAACGCGCCGTGCACGCAAGGAATGCGCGGTCAATGTGCGCGCGGCGTCTCCGCGGCGGGTCCGCGACCACGGCGCGCGCACGGCCGAGTCGCGGCCCCTGCACGGCGAGCCCACGGGCCGCGCGGACATGCCGCGGCGCTGCTGTCCCGTGTGAGTAATTGAACCAAATCCGCAGAGGTGGTTCTACACAGATTATTCGGGGGAGCCGCTCTTACCTCCGTGCAGTGGGCCAGGTCCGCGTCTTTGCCGAAAAAAGCAAAAGACGTTTAACTGGCCCACTGCACGGAGGTAAGAACGGTTCCCCCGAATAATCTAGGTAGAACCACCTCTGCGGATTTGGTTGAATTACCGAAGTTTGGCGTCGTGAGGGCATTCGGCTCGGCTCGGAATTCGAGCGGCTCGGTTTTCGAGCCGAGCCGAATGCCCACATTACTCCCAACCCCCTCTGTCGGGAGGTCTAGTCCCCTTTGCTTGCCGCGGATTTTCGAATGCGCTTACCGGTCGATTCTCCCAGAAGCCATACACGAACGCGCTGACGCAGACCACAACCGCGAAAATGATGGGGGCCTGAGGCCTGAATATCGACGGGTTCTATAAATAATGATACACTGACAATATCCTCTTAAAGGGGTTAGGAAAGCCTACAAAACGTGTAAATTGGACGCGTCTGCGCGTTTAAAAGACTTTGTGCCAATACTTTCTTTCCTACCTGATCTAATGATACCATCGTAGGGTGGCCTTTCCCCGAATATATTCGGTTGGACAAAAAGTTCTGGCGGTTATAGTAGTTTTGTCTTATTACATTTTCTTAGTTTTTACAAGGTGTGAAAGTTGAGTCCAAAAAACCGGCTTGTTTTCTTTTTTGCTTCGGAACTTTGTAGAGAGGCGGCGTAGAGCCCACGGCATCTCAGGGGCCGCAATTACGACATGTGATTCCGGGGCTCTTTTCGAGAAAAAATACTAGGGGAAAATCTTTGATGGCTTATAACTTTTTATTTGGATTCCAACTTCAAAAAGTGGATTTCCAGAATTTTAGAATAGAATGCGCTCTTTCGAATGCGACTAAATAGGAAGAAAAACTGAATTCAAAAACTAGTTGCACCAAGGCTTTGAAATTTCCGGTTTTAGACTATAGTTTGGTACAAAACGGGGTGCACTGGAGCGTCGCGTAGCCCAATTTATGGTCCAAATTCCCCATTTTTCGTTGCGGACCAAACCACTGCATGAGTTGCCGTGAGCCCTAATGAAGATAGCATTCGACTGAGCCCACAAAGCGCTACAGCGGGTATCGTAGAAGTTCTGCTTCAAAAATTATTCCGTTGAGATACGACTATAAGTACCGTGTAGAGCACGAAGACTGCTTTCAAATGACTGATTGCAATCAGCCCTGAGATCAACACTGCTCTGGAAAAAGCGATCCAAACCCAAAACCGCCAGAACTTTTTGTACAACCTAATAGCTGGCTAAATTCCACGCGTACACTTACACTTTCTTGCCATTTGACCTCCGGGTCCAACACTACATCACCTTCGCTGGCAAGCGCTGAATTGTGAGCATTCAAAGTCTAAGCTAGTTGGTACAACCCTTAATTTCCTTCCGGTCACTTGAGCTGAGCGTCTCGTAAGCTACCACCGTCTGTTGCATCGCGTGTGGCAGTTCACCTCTAAAATTTCCGGTTTTTCGGCTGGGTAGCATCAAAGAAGGCTATGACATTTCGAATCTGATTACTTTGCAATTTTTGAGACTGAACCAGAGGTCGGCGCAAAATTTTTCACAAATGGCCCAGGTCCCTGAGCTGTGACCATGAAAAAATATGAAGATATGAAGGCCACGGTTTACTTTACCCCCCCCCCAGCTGGAATGTTTTGGCTAAAACTTTTCTATTTTACATTATTGTGGGCTCAAATTAAAACTCTGAGTAAATTAAAATTTACGACGCTCTATCGAATAACGTGCTAAAAATCCCGACAAAATAAGCGAAAATACCGAAAACTTTGAGATCCTCTGGCTGTGGGGGAACAGTAAACTACTACCGATATCCTACTATATATAAAAAAATAGTGTTTGTGTGTGTGTGTGCCACTTTGCATCCACTTCCGTGTGGCTGTCCGGAGGATATCTCAAGAAGGGACGGGTATTAGGCTACGTATGATACGTCATTAGGTGTGTAATGGTCTAGGGATGACTGCACACATATCAGATTTTTAAAAATTAGCCATTTTCGTTATTAAATTTAGGTTTTTGTAAAAACCTCTTTGTTAGGGATAATTAGCATAGAGCGGAAGTGGGCCGTCGCCTATATAAAGAGACATAAAGGGTTGTTTTTATTTTTTTTTGTGTTCTGAATGGAGGACAATTATGCAAAGGGAAGAATTATGGGGTCAGAGACGGGACGTTGAAAAGTCGCGAAGCGGCTTTTCAACCCTGGTGAATATGAAAGAAGTTGTGAGAAAGAACAAAATATTAACTACTTTCCCTTTTCGTCTTTAAGCGAAGCGTGAAGCTAAAAAAATTTTTAAGTTGCCCACCTGGAAGCTCGGTAAAGCTCGGCAAAATCTGCAAATCGAGCGGTCATCGCAGAACCTTATAAAATCAGAATCTCGAAAACATAATCTCGAAAATCAGAATCTCGAAAATCAGAATTTCGAATTTTCAGAATCTCGAATTTTCAAAATCTTGAATTTTCAGAGTCTCGAATTTTCAGAAGCTCG